AAATTTCAGAAGGATGGAACAAACAAATCCTTTGATGTTGAAATGTTGACAGGTAATTTGGCGGGTATGGATATATTTTTGACATTCTTCTAATTATGGAATATTATTGTTTTAACTTTTTCTTTAATCTGCAGGATCCTCAAATGTTGCCTCCAATAATGAGGGAGAATTGCAGTCCAGCTGTACTTGGACTATGCCGTTAACTGTGGGTGCCATGAATTCCACTGGTACTGTTGTTAGTGAGTTATTTTAGTACTGAGTTTGCTCTGTCTTAATTAATATTGTTTGGGTATATTTGGAGTTAGTAACTTGTTATTACAGTGGTTTAAACCTGTGAACATAATACCAAATAACAAGATTAAGTTAATAGGTCAACTCGGTCAAATTCTAGCTTGTTCGTTACTGTCTTAATTAATTGTAGTAGGCTCAATCTTGAATCTAACAGGAATAGGCACCCGATCTGAGCCATCAATATGGGGGAGAGAGGAAGAACTGGCTGAAGTCCGAAAGGGCAAAATGGCTGCAACTGGTGGCAATTGTACTCCGCCTCATTTCCCAATGAGTGGTTCTCAATCTAGTGAGTTTATGGTTAGCGCTAACCAGACTGCACATCAATCAGCCTTCACAGGCGACAGCAATTGGAAAGTGGTGCAATATGCACAAAAGCAGCACGTAAGTATATCGAAATATATATATATATATATATATGTATGTATATATATATATCTATAGTAAGTTTCATATTAATGATTATATCTATATTGTTCTGAATGATTGATACTTGTCTAAAAACCCATCTTCTAATTAATATTTTCAAAAACCAATTGTTGGATTGAAAGTTTCATTCATGTAGATCATGCATATCAATTTTTATATTGATCTAAGACTTATAACCCTTTGATCAAAGAAATTCTATTTACTGATATATATTTAATGGTGTTAAATTTCCTATAATCAACAAAGTGATTAGGCCTACTAGAACAATTTGAAAATTGGAATGTATGATTTGTATGAACAGTGCTTTCAATTTAACGGTTGGTTTTTGAAATTATTAATTAAAAGATGAGTTTTTAGATAAGTCCTCCAAAAAAATTAGGAGGATGATCTGCAAAACACTTTTCTCACACACACACACACACATATATATGATGCATTAACAGAAATTCAAGTGTTGCTATTATTATTTGGTATAATGGTGATAACTGAGAAGTGAATGGAGTGATAGATAACAAGTCTTTGTTGTGTTCAAATGTTGTTGGCATCACATTGATACGTACCATGTGGTAAATGTCTCTTAAAATATGCACAGGATACTTCTGTTGCTAAGCGCCCATCCAGCCATGGATTGGACCAGATACAGTTGCAACACCAAATATCAGAGATGCAAGCACAGCTGCAGTGGATGGTGGATAATTTTAATACTATGGTTCAGAGGTCCGTGGTAGCACTTGCACCGTGTGGATTTTTCCAACAGACAAATGCCTCTACTGTCTCTCCTGCAGAGCCTCATCGTGACCTTCTTAGCATGAGAGGAGGAACTAATGCTGCTGCTGGATCCTCTGGTGATCCCACAAACCAGTCCTTCCCACACAATGAAGAGGTTTTAACTTTACCTTGATCTCACTTTTATGTAGTTTCTTACGGCACATGTCAAATGGATGATGCACGTTTTATGTTTATGTTATCGTAGCTGTGGGTCAGAGTAGTGCCTATAGTGTATGTCCAATTCTTTATATAAGTCTTTCAGTGGATACGGAGTGCCTATAGTGCTAAAATTGATTCATTATTAGGGGATGATTATGAGGATACCCTACTTATGACAACTTAGGATGTTTTTTCTCTCTCAATCTTAATAATTCTATAGGAATGCTTTTTAACTGTGAAAAGATTGTGGACGTCTATGAAGGTAATAATTAATAAATACGTACTCTATTATTTGTTGATTCTGGTCTATTGGAGAATGGCATATTTTGTGATACAAGTTTAAGCTGTGACCCTTTAGTAGTCCTTATGGTATGAGTTGTGACTAACAAAACCTCAGCGTGCATATATTCAATCAAATTGGATTTAAAATTCCTTCAGAATGCTTTGTAACTTACATAAGGAAGATTTTTAAATGGACCTTGCATAGCCTTAGCGAACACTAGTAATCTGGTAAAAACAGGGTAGCTAGCGTTCATAGAGCTCATATAGCCATCAGAATGAGATCAGGTAAAAAGCTTTTAGTAGTTCAATTGATGTTGATTTAGCTTTTCAGTATATAGTAGCCGATATCAGAGCCAAGTTTAGTAGTTTGCAGTCTGGACATAGTAACTGGTAACTCTACCTTAAATTCAAGGCCTTGGTCTAGATTTTTATTTAATTAGCTTCATTCTAACATTTGCAATTCTTTACCAAGTAAATGCAGCTTTGGTTTTCTTTATAGCATATTCATCATGATTCCCATAAAAAAAAAAAATCTGTATCCCAAACACTCACTCAATCATATCGTATTCAAGTAACTGATATCATTACAATTAGAACCTAGTAAGGTTTAGCACAAAGAAAAATTTAGAAATAAAAACCAATGGAAAAAATTCCTAAACTAACAAGTGTTTAAGATTAAAAGAAGTATCTTTTGTAAAATGAAGCACTGTACAAAAGCTTGTGGGCTCTTAGAAAGCAACTAGTAGAGAGAGATTATGTCCTCTAAGGGCAGTATAAATGTACTGTCACTTCTTCATCTGCCACTTCTCAGTCAACAGTGATCATTTTCAGTGTGTCATCCCAAATAAATCCACTTTTGTTTTGAAGTGTTGTAATAATATTACATGTAGATTTTATTGTCTTTAGTTGTTTCTCCACATGAGTAGGCACACATTCAACACCAAATTTCAAGCTTTTAATTTCAGCTACTTGACCAAAAGATTGATGCTTAAATGTGTTAGATGGCTTGTTGCCTTTTGCTGCCTCCTCAGCAAGGATCTCAAGTAAAATGTGCCCCATTGGTTCTCACCACATAAATTGATTTGATGTAACTATTTTTACACATCATCAAAGATTTTTTTTCTTTAATTCCAGAATCCCAGCAACCTTAAAGACGTCGAGAAGAATCTATTAATTGTTGATCTTGAGTCTATCCTCTTTTAATTTGTTTTGTTTATCTTTTTAGATGCATTAATTATGTCAACGTTTAAACGTGGACCTAATGGTTTGATTAAAAGAGGTCTTTGTTCAATTATCTTTTTTTTTTTTTTTTTTTTCTTGTTGGTGTTGATGGAGAGGATATGAACCATTTATTTCTAGAATCTTCTCAGTCTCTTTATCTTTGGATGAGATGTTGTACGTCTCTTGGAGGGGATTTAGCTCTGTTTTGCACTGATACTGTTGATGCTTGTTGTCTACATTTTGTCTATGGGATGTTTGATAGGTATATATAATGTTAAGATTGGGGCATGGTTTTCTTGGTTAATTGTTATGTGGTCAATTTGGAATGATAGAAATGAGATGATCTTCCATAATGATCAATGGGAGAAAAGCAAAATTTTTGAATTAATTCAGGTCATCGAGTAGTTTGTGTGGTTAAAGAGGAAGCTTGAAAGTGTTGCATGTATGTGTTTTCCATAAGTGATTGTGTTCAGTTTCTGTCCTTGTGTGTAGACGAGATAAGAAGGTTATTATTAGAAAAACAGATGATGGGTGTTTGAGGCCAAGCAGCTTGCTCTGGATAGTTTGCAGAGTTCTGTTTACTGTTTGTAAGGTTAATTTTGTATATTGTCAAGTCTCAAGTACAAGTTATTGAGTTGAATTTAGTGATAGTTTTTCTTTGTAATTAAAGAATTCTGTATGAATTATATATTTGTAGAGTGAATTCATTAGTCTTCAGAAATGGCAAGAACTGTTTGTGAAATTTTGTGAGGATGTGAAAATTACTGAGAAGTTCAAAGCCTTTTATTTAAAGGTGTGATGATCTTTCTCATGAGTTTCTTATCCAAAACTTTTCTTTATGCTGTAGTAATTCTATATATATATATATATAAATGCAGTTGACAAGATTGAACAATACATTTTTATTCCCCTTTCCCTTAACTAATCTTTGTTTTAATGCACTTTAAGGAACAGAGAGAAAGGATATTCAGTGAAGAATTGGACAAGCTTGGGAAAGCTATAGTGGTACTTCCTTCCAACCATTGTTTCTTTTTGGTAGTATTTAATACATTAATTACATCACTCTTTATCTGACTCTTTCCAATTCCTCCTCTTAAATTCCACTTCCAGGAAGATTTAGCAAACCAATACTTTGACAAGGTTGGGAATATTTTGCTGCATTATCTTTTAATAATGTTGACATTATTCTATTTCTGAAATTTCTGTTTTAACTTTTTCAGGACCTGTCAGTAACTTCGGACGAGGTATATATAGATGTTATGTTGCATTTATACTTTTAACATTTCTAATTATAGAACTACTATTGTTTTTAACATTTTCTTAACCTGCAGAACCTTGAAATTGAAATGACTCAAACAGGGGGACTAAAAGGTGTCACTGACATGAGTTCAAGTAGCTTTGGAGGTTTAGTAAAATTCAAGTAGCTCTGGGGAAGTGGGGATTTTACAATTGTTGCTACTGCAACTTGAACCTTGGCATGGACCAAGGATGTTGGTGCACTTTGCCTGCCAACCTGGGGCTGCAAGTGCCCTTTGCTGTCTTAATTTTTCTGTGAGCTAACTTTTTTTTTGGAATGTGACAGCAATGGGAATCACATTTGAGCCACAAGGGAAGATCACTAATGATGACCTTGGACAAGGGAGCATTGATGAACTTAGTTTGGACGATCTTCTTCAGGTATGTGTTCAGATAATAAATACATACTCTACTCTTCAAAGAATTTGGTCTGTTGGAGAATGGCATATTTTGTGATACTAGTTTAAGCACTTACCCTTTAGTAGTCCTTGTAGTATGAGTTGTGACTTGTGACTGACAAAACCTCAGCATGCATATATTCAATCAAAATGGATTGAAATTCCATCAGAATTTTTTGTATTCCATCACAATTTGGTACAGTAGTTTTTAGCATTTAAAATCAGAGCGGTGCAGAGGAAAAGCTTAGCACAAGAATAACAGTAATTAGATAAGCTAAAGCATGAGTTTGGAATCACATATAGCTATAAATATATGTATGTAAGTTCTTGAAAGAGAATCCAATATAGTTAAGCAAGCTTGTACATGACTGAAATAGCTAATAAATTTCAGCATCAAACAAAGGTTTAACAAAAGACTGCATGTAACTGGAAAGTAGATGAGCATAAAGTGTTTACAGACAGATATAGTAAAGTTTAATTAAATACAAAAGGCCTACAAAATAATGGATCTCAATTCTAGTTTTGGTAAATATACAGGTTCACATTACTAATCTAGAGTAGTAGGATTGATGTCAGCTACACTTGACACACCTCGTAAGCTAGCTAGTCTGAAATGAGATGATATAAACAACAGTGAGCTTGTCTTCAAGCTATAACTGAGCCCTATATATTATTAGTCAATTTTAATACATGCTAAAAAGAATCTACTGAATTTAGAAGAGGAACAGAGATGCTTATGACATATTTCTCTTATGCATAATTTAGATAATTAGCAATGTACAGATCAAGTCCTGACGGTTAGCATAAGCATTTCATAACAAAATTAGGCATAAACAGAAGTTAAACATGACATGGTATACTTCAACAAAATAGGTTCTTCTGTATTATTACATCACACCCTTACACGTACCCAGAAATGGGTCCTAATTATGCCCCTAAGCCACACATAATGTGCATTTTTCAAAAGTTGTAGACTATTTTATGTTTTCCTTCTACTGCCCTTTATCTGAATATTTTTAACTCTTTCTCTTAAATTTCTGAAGGATGTACCACTCGATTCCCATGCCTGGGATACTCTTCTAAACTCTTTGCTGGAATCAGAAGTGTTCACAGGAAATTTGGCGGGTATGTATATATTTTGCTGCATTATTATAGTATTTTTGATATTCTTCTAATTATGGAATATTATTGTTTTAACTTTTTCTTTAACTTGTAGGATCCTCAAATGTTGCCTCAACTGGTGGAGGTAGTGAGTTATTTTAGTACTGAGTATACCATGTCTTAATTTTTTTGGGGTATATCTGTAACTTGGTATTACATGACCCAATTGTCTCTCCTGCAGAGCCTCATCATGACCATCTTGGCACACCAGGAGAAACTACTGCTGCCGCTGGATCCTCCGGTGGTCCTACCACCCAGTTCTCACCACACAATGAAAAGTTTTAACTTTCTCTTGATCCCCACTTTTATGTCATTTCTTACGGGTAATGTCACATGGATGATTCAGGATTTTATGTTTATGTTGGCTTATCGTAGCTATGGATTATGTTGGAGCAGCTATTACCTAGAATGATATGAACTTAATTACATGAACACTAACTAGGTGGCTGTGTTGAATGGGATATTTGCACTGGATGTTAATTATACAAATGCAATACAGTCTAGAAATCTGAACTCATTCTCCTAAGAAACGCGGCCACAATCACAGAAAGACGCTCCCCATCACATTCTAGTTGAAAATTCTGGCGAAAGGACTCACAAAGGGCACTCAAGCTTCTCATATAATTCAAAAAACACCTTCTCTTCATCATCCATTCTCAAAGCCACTAAATTTCCCCTCGGACCAGGAAAGTAGAATATTGGATTATTGTGATTAGTCAATTGAAATCCTAGCGATCGAGTACTGCAAAGAAAACAATGCCATTTCGTTCATCTTCCATCGCCATTTTGAAGATAAAGTCAATGAAATAATTACCATCGTTATTAGGGAGTAAAGCAAATTCAGGCAACTTGCCTATCCATGCACAGCATCCACTCTGACAGTAAATTTTCACGCCGGTTTTCAGCGTACAACCTTGCTAACCCATCAAACTCCCATAAGCACTCAAAACACAAAGACTTTAGCATAGCCATTTTATATGGTTTCATAAAAGTTGTTCATACCCTTTGGAAATTAGTCTGTGAATCGCCTTCAGCAGCATCAACTTTGATAATATCACTAAGATGATCAATAAGCTTCAACTCCCAAGAATTCCTCTTGTTTATTTTCTAAAAAATGTATCCAACAATAGCAATAATCAATTGAATTTCCAAGCACAGATAAAGCATTTACTTAACATTTCTGTAGAAGACCAAAGGAAGCAGACATTTTCGCTGGCGAGTTTAATGCAGTTTTGGAACAAGTCGATGATTTGTTGTTTGCTGAGATAATAGTCGGAAGGCGGTGAAGGAGGATTGGATACCAGAGCTGTTCGGCGGATTGCAGCGGCACTGCTTCTTCCATGGGAAGAAATTCGAATAAAAAAAGGAAAATAGGGTGGAGATGGAGTGGACGTGGATTCAAAAACTTCGAAGCCATCCCCCTTTTCTCTCCCTTCTCTCCTGCTTCTGCCCCCCTTCTCCGGCGCTGCGTTGGTTTTGCTCGGAAGCCTTTGAGCTTCCGAGGTTTTGATGTTTGAGCCGCCGGGCTTCCCGGCCGCTCAAGCATGTTGGAGCAGCCCTGTGCTCCCTCCTCCAATGACCCTTCCTAGTTTGTCGGCTTTTGGGTCCCTTTCCGGTGATCCCTTTCGGTTTTTCTGTTTTTTCTTGTTGTTTTGTTTTACTTTATGTTCTATGTTCTTCTTGTATAGTTTATGTTTTTCAGATCTAACAACTTCGGCTCTATCCTGCAGATCTTGGGAGGTACTCGTTGATTTTTCAGAACTGGCCACTGCCGGACTAGATCTTTGCCGCGACATCCTGGTGATCTCGCGCCATCCTCTCCGGAGTAGATTGAAAGGTGTCCCATGACTGGATCGATCGACCTCAGGTTGCTCGAGTGACTTCACCTCCCTTCCTCCTATGCATCGGACCTACTCTGCTTTGCTTCTTTAGTTTGTTCTTTTCTTTGTCTGTTACCCTTATGCTTTTGGATAACGTTTGGATGTAGATGCCGTATGATAATTTCCCTAATGCATTGCTAATAACCTTTTTCTCAAAAAACTTCGAAGCCGCGCAGGCCCAGCGAGAGACACCGTCTAACAAAAAATAAGAAGTGAATCTGAAGGGTGGTCACCCAACTTTAATAAAATCGACACTATGGGGTCAATTTAACAATTCCTAACACTTTTCATCAAGAGAGAGTAACCACTAAACCATCTAGTATTGGACGGTCTATAATCTTTTTCTTTTCCTTTACACTCAAGGGAAAGAAATCTTAATAACAATTTAATTAATTTTGTTGTAATTTTTTTATGAAAATATGAGGATTTAAGCTTGGGTTATGATATGTGAATAGAATAATTTTAAAAATAAATTACATTTTATTATACAATTTAATATTACAAAATTTTAATTAAATCAAAAAATTTATGTAGTGTCATGTAAAGTTTTACGTAGAATTCTGTTCATTAGATTAATGGTTGATAGGCAAGATGACCAATTAATTTGTTGCATTTTCCTTAGTTTCTTGATTGAAGAAGGAGAATAATAAGATTACGGATTGGCACAAACTCCATAATTCATAACCAACTATAAAATTTAGCCAATTAAATAACTTGATGAGAAAAATTACTGAATAACATACTGTAATGTTAACTTTGACTAACTAAACTTACTTCACAAAAATATAGAAATATAACCAAAAAAAAGAAAAAAAAAAAGACTTTGGTCGAGATGCTGCATTAGTATTAGGTTAAGTTGTATTGTAATCGTGGGTTTAATCATAAAAAATTAAAAATACATAAAATATTAATTAAAATCATTAAAAATATATAAAATAATTATTATTATTTATTTATTTTATACTACTTTTGTTAATTTTTAATAAATTTAATTTAATTTTTTAAACATAAATTTTAAATAAAAATTTAACCACTATATAAACAAAAATTAAAATTTTTTTTCTTTTTATATAAAATTTTTATTGTATACTTTAATATGATTAAAAAATTTTAATTATTATTTATATAATATATTAAAATTTTAACTAAAATTTATGTGAAAATAATCAAAAAAAAAAATTAAATACCCATACTAAAAATAAGAGATGAAAGGAGGGAGAAATGAATTATTTACACTTTTACAAAGGTGCCATAGAAATTTCTAAGTTCTTGAACGGAGAAGGAAAATAGTAAGACTTCATTATAAACCGGGAGGAATCATTAAATACACGAGAAGAAAAAATCTGTGGCGTTCGCTTTGACTGGCGAAAGTGATTCAGTACCGGGAGTGTTTATTTTAGCTCGAGATGTCTCGCGAGCTAAAAATGACTTCTCCGAAGCCTTTCTGCTATAAAATTCATCAAGCAATTAAATGGAAATTTTCTCTTTCAGATCGATTGATCCTATCCGACAGGTTGAGTTCCACCAAAGCCAATCCTTTTCATTTGTACATCTTTTCATATATATCTTGGTGGAGATTCTGGTGCGTAAACTATCAATCTTTTCATCATCGTTATTTGTTGTTTTTTCATCATTTTCCCAGTTATTTCTTCAATTTTTCTACTGTCTTAGTATGAAAACTTGGATCTGCTTAAGTATTACTTTTTAATGAAATCAGCTAACTCTAATAAGTAATTTCCTTATATTATCTCTGTCACAAGGAAGAATTAATGGCAGAGGGTGGAAAAGAGAAAAGGATTGGAGTCGATGAAGCAGGAGACAGGCGAAGATCAGGACGTACGCCAGGACCGCCACGCTCCGAGGAAGAAGTGAAGAAAAGGAGGGAGGAGAAAAATAGAAAGGATAGAGAATATCGGGCCAAAAAGACGGTAAATAAATTAGTGTCCTGTTGTTTTCACTTTTCATATGCACTGTACTAATTAATTGTAGAGTAGTAAATAAGAATGTCTAATATGTGGAAGAATTTAATTTAGTTATCTCGAACATTAAATTAAAGGAGTGATCTTGAGTTGAGCCTCTTTTTTTTGGGATGCTCTTTATTGTGATATTGCTTTGATTGGGAGAATTAATGTCCAATTCCTTGTATAAGTCTTCAACGAACAAAGAGTGCTTTATATATGGTGCTTTAGTTGATTCAATTTATTGCTAGCAACTTATATGGTGCTTAAGTTGTCAACTCTACTTATGACAACTTTGGATGTTTTTTCTCTCTCAATCTCAATATATAACTCTATAGGAATGCATTGTAACTGCAAAAAGATTATGGGCATTTACATAGGTAATAGTTAATAAATACTCTATTATTTGATGAATTTGGTCTATTGGAGAACTGCACATTTGGTGATACTTGTTTAAGCAATCACCCTTTAGTAATATTAGTAGTCCTTATGCTATGAGTTTGACAAACAAAACCTCAGCACGCATATATATGATCAAAATGAATGTAAAATTCCATCAGAATGTTTTGTAACTTAAGTAAGGAAGGGTTTTAAAATAACCTTGCAAAGCCTTAGTTAACACTAGTAATTTGGTAAACACAGGGCAGCTAGCATTCATACAGCACTTATAACAAAATTTGGTATGGTAGATTTTAGCATTTAAAATCAGGGTAGTACCCACTACATAGGAAAAGCATAGCGCTAGAATAACACTAATTAGATAAGCTAAAGCTGTAAAGCATGAGTTTGGAATCACATATACCTATAAATATACGTAAGTTCTTGAAAGAGAAAACAGTCTAGTTAAGCTAGCTTGTACATGACTGAAATAGCTAACAAGTTTCACAATCAAACAAAGGTTTAACAAAAGACTGCATGTAGTTGGAAACTTGGAAAGTAGATGAGCATAATGAGTTTACAAACAGATATGCTAAAGCTTAATTAATGCAAAAGGCATACAAAATAATGGATCCAAATTCTTGTTTTGGTAAATATACGGGTTTGCATTACTAATCTGGAGTAGTAGGATTGATGTCAGCTACACTTGACACACCTCTTAAGCTAGCTAGTCTGCAATGAGATGATATACACAATGGTGAGCTTGGCTTCAAACTATAACTGAGCCCTATATAGTTATTAGTCAATTTTAATACATGCTAAAAATAAACTACTGAATTTAGAAGAGGAATAGAAATGCTCATGACAGATTTCTCTTACGCATAATTTAGATAATAATTAGCAATGTACAGATCAAGGCATGACTGTTAGCATAAGAATTTCATAACAAAATTAGGCATAAACAGAAGTTAAACATGACTTGGTGTACATCAACATAATAAGTTATCATGCATTTCATAATTAGCTATAGCATGCAGGATTAGTCTTAATATAAATGAGACTTAGACAAAAAGATTGCAAACATAAACACCAATAACAATCATTAAGTAAAAACTAAATGGCTGTGGAGTCCAATGCCCACAAGTGTGCATGTACTCACACTCCATTAATGAAGGTAGTCTTAGTGCATCTCTACTGCTTAGAGGTCCACCATTCTCATTAGAGATCCATAACATGTTAAACCAAAACATAACACTCACCTACATATATACAAGATCATGCATAACATAATCTGTTTATAACATAAATCATCATTAGAAGTATATAAATATACATGCATGTCATTCAGCTTACATTCAATTTCTCTTAAGTTAGTTTTGGGCTGATGACCATAAAAGAAGTGGTGTGGGGGCTACTTTAGGGATGGTAGTATGGTTTTTCTATCATGTTAGCATATGACCTGAGTATTTGTATACAGAATATGTGGTTGGTGTTCGGCTATGGTGCTGGTTTGTGTTGTGTAGAATCTCCATACTCACACCATCTCCCTGTTACTTCTTTATATGGTTTCCAAGTCTTTTTTGATTGCCATCTCATTTCAAGGAGGTGGATTGGCACCATAGTGCGGTAATTCCTCCATAATTAAATCTCCTATATCTCCTCTCTGCTTTAAAATTACAAGCTGGGTGAAGGATGAGAGGTAGTAACGTACAAGCTTAAAGGAAGTTCCCATGAGTTGATTAAAAATAAATAAAATAAAAAGGAAGCTCTCATGACTAGATGATTGGCCCTTGAGCTTACAGCTGAGTTTCCACCTTCCCTCTTACTCTCCAGGCCTAGGGTTGCAGCAAATTTTTCTCCAGAACCTGCTCTATGTTTTGTTATGCAGTTTTTTTGTATGTTATTTTGAGGATTTTCTGGAGGTTCTACTGTTTAGGATCTGTTTATTTGTGTTGTAATAATGAATGACCTTATTTCTCTATAATATAATGGTTTATTTGTGGGGAAAAAAAAAGGGGTTTCATATGAATAATTGAATCTATGTTGTTCTGAATGATTGATGTTTACTTGAATTATATTCTTAAAAAATCCTCGTCTGTTTTGTTTTAATTGTAAATGCAGTTTGAACGCACTGAATTTGAGGCCTTTTGTGAGATGCCTGGAATCAATGAAATGTTCAAAGCCTTCAGTGAAGATTACAGGAAAAGAAATGAAGAAAGTTCAGAGGTAAGAATTCAAGAGGCTTGATAAAGATTTTACGTATCACAGTAATTATATAAGCTAAAGCATAAAGTTCTTACATATGTAAGTTCTTTAAAGAGAACACAGTCTAGTTAAGCTAGCTTGTAGATGACTGAAATAGCTAATAAGTTTCAGCATCAAACAAAGGTGTAACAAAAGAATTCATGCAGTTGTTGGGAAGTTGATGAGCTTAGCGTGTTTACAAACAGATATAGTAAAGTTCAATTAGATACAAAAGGCTACAAAATAATGGAGCCAAATTCTAGTTTTGTTAAATATACAGGTTTGTGTTACTAATATGGAGTAGAAGGATTGGTGTCAGCTCCACTTGACTCACCTCTAAAGCTAGCTAGTCTGATTGAGATGATATACAAAAGTGTGAGCTTGGCTTCAAGCTATAACTGAGCAATATATAGTTATTAGTCAATTTTAATCCATCCTAAAAACAATCTACTGAATTTAGAAAAGCAATAGAATCGCACATGACAGATTTCACTCAGACAGAACTTAGATAATTAGCAATGTACAGACCAAGTCCTGACAGTTAGCATAAGTATTTCATAACAAAATTAGGCATAAACAGAAGTTAAACATGATATGGTGTACGTCAACAAAATAGGTTTTCCTGCATTTCATAATTAGCTATGGAATGCAGGATTGGTCTTAATATAAATGAGACTTAAACAATAAGAGTGCAAACATAAACACCAAAAAAATAAATGGAGTATAAACTAAATGGCTATGGAGTTCACTGTCCACTAGTGTGCATGTACTCACACTCTAGTAATGAAGCTAGTCTCAGCACATCGCTACTGCATGCACAGAGGTCCACTATTCTCATTAGATCCATAACATGTTAAGCCAAAATGTAACACTCACCTACATAGATACAAAGATCATGCACAACACAATCTGTTTATAACATAAATCATCATTAGAAGCATAAAAATATACATTCATGTCATTCAGCTTACAATCAATTTCTCTTAAGTTAAGTCTTTGGCTGATGATTATAAAAGAAGTGGTGTGGGAGCTACTTTAGGGATGGTAGTATGGTCTTTCTATCATGTTAGCATGTGATCTGAGTATGTGTATACAGAATATGTGGTTGGTGTTTGGCTATGGTGCTTGTTTGAGTGGAATCTCCATACTCACACTGCCTTTGAGTTTCAAACATCTCCCCGTTTCTTCTTTATATAGTTTTCAAGTCTTTTTTGTTTGTCTATCTTACTTCAAGGATGTGGATTGGCACTATGGTGCAGTAATCCCTCCATGGGTAATCTCCCATGTGTCCATTTTGCTTTAAAACAAGCCAAGTAAAGGATGAGGTAGTAATTTACAAGCTTAAAAGGAAGCTCCCATGACTAGATGATGAGCCCTTGGGCTTACAGCTGAGTTTCCACCTTCCTGCTTACTCTACAGGCCTAGGCCTGCAGCAAACTTTTTCTCCAGAAACTGCTCTATGTTTCGTTAAGCAGTTTTCTTTGTATGTTATTTTGAGGATTTTGTGTAGATTCTAATGTTTGGGATCTGTTTACTTGTATTGTAATATAACAGATGAGTTTATTTCTCTATGATATAATAGTTTATTTGTGGCAAAAAAATGGTTTCATACTAATGATTGAATCTATATTGTTTTGAATGATTGATGTTTACTTGAATTATATTCCTAAAAAATCCTCATCTACTCTGTTTTATTTGTAGATGCAAAATCTACTCAAAAAATATGAGGGCTTTTGTAAGGAGCCCAGAATTATTGACGAGCTCAAAGCCT